CAATTCATGAGCAAATAATCAAATTTGAGTCGCGGTGCAATTCAACGCAACTGAAGCGTGCGACCGTATGGCAATTTTTGTACAATAAAATTTATAATGTAACCTTATATAAAATGCTGCGTTTGCACTTCATAGAAATCAGTTGAAAGTTGTCACATGTACTGGTCAAAATATGAAGGCAAGCGTTGTGTATTTTGCAGTGATGTGCGCATTTGTGGTAAGCTAGTTTCGGAGAATATTTAGAAACTAATCGTTTTTTATTACAGCACTATGTCAATGCGCAGGATGATACACGTGTGGATTGCACCAAACCGCCACGTTATATTGTGAGTATACATACTTTAGTTTAGCATAATTTGGCGCAATATTCAATTTGCATCCAATCGAAACAGCCTCTACACACGTGCTGTCCAGTGCCTGTCCTCATCACCGATGAACTAATGCATCAATGCGCCCAATTCGCCGAACCGCCACCACCGTCACCACCGCCACCGATGAAAATGAGCAAAATTGTGCCCCCACCAAGGCCGCGTGGAGGTCCAAAAATAAGTGGGCGCCCGCTTGTACATGGACTACATGCCCCTACCGTAGGCAACCGTTTGTGCAATCATATTGATATTCATAATTTTAAACAATTCTTTTATTTTTACTTTTATACTCAGTGCCTCATGGAATGCATTTTCAATAAAACCGAAGTCATTGGCGAGGACGGTGAGCTCCAGGGGGATAATTTTATGGAACTCCTAAAGACTGCAGTAAAGGACAATGAGGAAATGATCGCAGTTATGGAGGAATCCTACGACACTTGCTTTGAAAAATCCACTGATGCAAAAGCTAAAATTGCCGATAAAATGAAGAAAGATCCAGAGTTTGCTCAGAGAATAACTAAGCCTAAATTCCAGTCCTGCTCGCCTTTCGGTGCTATAATAATGACTTGCATTAACTTTGAGACATTCCAAAATTGTCCAACATCTGCATGGAATGATAGTGAGGAATGCAATGCATTCCGTAAATTTGTTACGCAATGCTAAGGATCTGTGTATATTAAAATAATAAGCAAATTGGAAGGCAAACAAATCATTGGCTGAAGAAGTGCATCTTGTGGAGACTGCTGTTACTACTATTCAAGGTGTGCACGGTAAACTTGGGAAAAAAATCAAGGAAAAATTGGATACATTTCTACAAAAAAATAACGGGTTTAAGGAGCTTAAGGGAATATCTGGTGTGCTAAGTAGACAAATGGCCGCAAGTGGCAGCTTTTAAGCAGGGATCACACGGCTTGTAGATTTGTACAGATTTGTACATTTTGGCAGTTACAGAGTGGTATTGGCTGGAAATTCTTTTATTGAGCTGAACTCAAATTTCTAAACAACACCACAAAAAAAAACAAACAAAAAAATACAAATCGTGTGATCCCTGCTTAATAGCTATAATCCCAATGAACTAGCTTGCTTTAAGTACGCCCCAATCACCAGTGTTGACGTAGAAAGAATGTTCTCCTTATATAAAACATTTTTGCGGCCAAATAGGGAAAGCTTTAACTTAGAAAATTTTAAAGAACCAATAATACCTGAACAAAGCAAATAAAAATAATAATATGGAAATTAAATATGTATATATGAGTAGCCCACTTGCAAAGTGCGCTATGTAAAATTTCTTCGATTTTTAGATTTTGGAGGATTACGTACCAGTATTTAAAGTAGTTGCATGTCCACTAACAACACAGTGCAAAATCTTTTTATATTCTGATAAAATAGTGTCAAATGTCAACTCTTCTTCCCAAAATCGCATTCATACTTATTTATAAACTTTCAAAAGTACCCATCTTCTGATGAATTTAGAAAACTGCTTTAGGTCGTACAGACTGTTAATGTTATCTTATGTCATATTATGTTATGTTATAATTTTAGATACTCTTACTTATTCAAATTTTCAGGTAATAATAAAAAAGATTCCATTTAAATGTTACTTGTTGTCGTAGTCGTTTTTTTCAAGTTTAATATTATAAAATCACATAACGCTGTTTGCAAGTGGACTCTTCATATGTATTTTTAATTTATTGTAAATGAATTTTTTACTTTTCACTCTAAGGCACTCCGCACATTACGCACCTAATCATAGTAGAGCAGACGTTTCGTCATGCCCTGAAAATGCCCTGGTGGCACACACTACACATTTTCTGGCCGTTCTTTCATAGTGAAATACTTCCGCGAATATTTCGCTATAAAATATTGCATAACCGCTTATTGTTTAATACAATTGGCACGAGTTTTAACACAAAATCAGTAACTTTCAATATTTCCTATTGAAATGACAAATATTTTTTTATTTTCAACACAAAAAAGTAAACAAATAATGATTTTTAAACGGCAAGCGCCTTACAATGTTGGGCGCTTCGATTCATGAAGCTTTTATGATTAGGCGAAAACGTGATTATGAATCGTAATATACAGAGCTTCATTGAAGTACATGTGTTCGGCATAAAAGCTTCATACTTTAGTATGCCGGAACTATTACACTACTATGACTAGGCGCTTAATGTGCGGACTGCCTAAGTGCTTAATTTTTATATACATACATATATATTTCGTACTAATTTGGCCTTATCGGATTTTCGGTGCTTCTTTTGGGCTTAACACACTTTCCTTTCATTGAATATGAACGAGAATAAACAAAACAAGTACCTTAATCCTTAATAATTTTGAAAGCAATGAATTTTAAATTTCTCTAGCCTCGTGCATCAAAATGTGAGTTTTCGTAAAAAATGGACTTAGCAACTTTTCACTCTAAGTGAGCGATATATTTAATTAATTTTAAGTTTTTCGTGGTACTAAAGATTACAATATATGGTTGTGTTGATTATAAACTTGTAATAAAATATGAAAAGTAAATCAAAAATTAAAAAAAGCAAAACAAATGCGTGGAGTCCTATTCGCTTATTTTTCAGTTTTTAGTGCGTATTTTTGAGTTTTCAGTACATACTCGTATTTATGATTTTTTAATGCACATTATATGCGCATTATTTCGATTTTTTAGCAAATAAAAAACCGGGCCCTAGTTATAACTATTCAACTTTTTGAGATACAATTTTTTTCTAGGCATATTCTCTCAAAACCTAATCTAAATAGTTAAAGTTGGTTGCCTTAGAAATGATTAAGAGTAATAAATATGTTAATGATATTGCTGAACGAGGTATAGGGTTGTACTTAATCGAACTTTGACAAAAGACGAAGAACAAAAGCTATTTCTTTTGCAAGTATGTAGTGTAATTACATCGCCAGTAATATCCTAATTGCAATAAACTTAATTTTATTAATAATACAAAAAGAATATTAATGTTTAAAAATGCAATAAAAATAAGTAAATCGATTAAAACTCTCTCTCATCTCTGACAAATCTAGTTTCGAACCAAATTTTTTTACACATTTTGTATAATTTTGGTATAAGGTTTTCATCTACAATGAACATTTACAATCATAAAGCCCAAAAAACTCAAATTTTTTGCTTTTTTCCACTTTCACAGCCGGTAAGTATATTCATTTTTGAGTCTAGAATCTAGATAATCAATAATAATGACAAGAAACGGTTCAATAGTTATAACACGGATACCTTTTGAAATTGGAATAAAACTGTTTCCAAATTGGCGAATTTCTGTCCTTTTAAGGCCATAAATTGGTTAGGTTAATTATTTTGTATCACCCTAGCGTATACGTTACATACACAACTACAGGTATATGGGCCCGAGTTGCTATATTTAGGAAGAGGTTATCAATTCGTCGGAATATTTTTATTTTTTTTTTTTTATGTATGTTACCGCATAACTTTGGACCACGTCAACCGATTTGTTTTTGCATCGGAAAGGTAGTATCTCAGAGGTGGTCCCATACTAATTTGGTTTAGATCTGATCATTGGATCATGAAAAAATTTACGGTATTCCTAAATTTTTATATGAGAATTACTTGTTCAGTATATCATTTTTACTTTTTCATTAAAATACAATTTCGCGATGGAATCTTATTCTTTATGCGAAAACATGTTTTTTGCCGAAAAATGTAACAACTGGTGAAATTTTCTCATATAGGCTAAACATGTATTTTATAGAATTCCAAGTTTTTACTCGAAAAGTGTTCCCATACATATTTATTCTCTGAGAGCAATTTTGCTTTTTGACAGTTTTAACAGTAAGGATAAATCATACCATCAAGGTATTACCCGAATCAGTACTTGTACATGTATCAAACAAGGTATCGTTTCTACTCAGTATCGGACGTACATAGAGCTACGATTTTTACAAAATATATGCAGGTAATCTCCTACTTTTTTCCGGTAGGTGGACCGGGGACCGATCTATTCGGAAAAATCATATTTATAGTCCGATTTGCTTTAAATCTTGCCTAATTAGCATAAATAGTCCCATTTTTCCGGGAAGTGGACCAGGGACCATCTATTCGAAAAAAACGTATTTATAATGCGATTCGTTCGCAAATATCCAAGTAGGTAGCTTATTTCCTGGATTAACATATAGGATACTTTTTTTTGATAGGTGGATCAGATACCGAGGTATTCGAAATTAATCCCATACTCACGGAGCAAAGTAGGGGTTATTGGAAAAGGAGGCGTGGCGCCTTCCTAATACACTAACACTTTTACCTATCTGTAAGTCATATCTTTACCTTAATTCACAGGGGCCCTAACCAACACTTTTTTCGAAACTTCGTTTTTCACAGATTTTGTGAATTACGATATACATACATAAACTTAATGCCCGAAACGATTTTAATGATTTTTTTATGTGTTTGAGCGGCTCCGTGTATAATCTAGGTTCACAACTTGAAACTCTAGGTGGCGCTGGAGTCGAGTTTTTACTAAAAATTGTATTTATTATCCGATTTGGCTCACTATCGAGATAAATATTCGTAAGTGTAGGGGCAATATGTACTATTGCACAAAAAGAGCTGCAAAATGGCGCTATAGTCGATCTATTGGTATAAATCGTCAAGTGGAGTCACTCGGAGACACCAAGGATCAGAGTTAAATTACCACCGTTAAATCAACCACCAGAACCATTGCGGTGCTTGCGACTGAACAGAATAAAGACAATTCTTGATAAATGCCTACAAATAGAATTGTAAGACATCTAAAGGTATTTCGTCTGAAATAAGGTCATGTATATTGGATTTCTGTGGACAAATGATACTCGCCCATTTTGAAATTGCCACCAACTGTACTATACAGATTCAAGGCATTAGATTCAGCATCGAACCAGATCATTGTTGCCACAAGAACTTCTTCACGTACATAACTCTTTCATTAGGTAAATTTAAGATGGCTATGGAGGATGTGCCTTCTGACGACCGCAAACCCAACCGTGAAAGTGAATTGTTGATGAAAACGTTGACCAAATGATTAAATAAAAAATTAATTTTGGGCGGGACGAAGTACGCCGGGTCTGCTAGTATAAAATAAGTTTAAAAAAGAGCTCCTCAACTTATCCAAGTATTTTCCTGAAAGGCGGTTTCGAGATTTTAATATAGTTGTTCCGGTTTTAGAGAAAAGCCTCTCGCAACGGGCAGATGAACCAACAACCCTTATGTATAGACGGGCTTGCTTATATAGCTACGGAAATGTAGTGCGCATACTATACCTGTAATGGGTTGCTTTTCAAAGAAGATAATGAAGCATAATAAGTTTTGCACTTCCGATACCAGTACTCCTTTTCGATACCTACTTCGATCGCAGTAAGAAGTATCGAGTACTAAAAAACTTGGTAAATTGAGAAAAGTATCGAGTATGTATTTGAATTAACTTGTATCGATTCATTCCTATTTACCAGCTTTTTCAATAAAAGTTTACGAACGAAACTTTCGTTATCTTAATATCGAAAGGCCCTACCTAAATTTTTGTTACAAAGTGATTACAAGAAATTAGCGCAATTTCCTATTATTATGTTGCGAATTTCTTGAAAACGCTGTTATTGTTATTGCTGACTGTAATTTGTAAAATGCCGCATTAGTTATTTTAAAATTAGGTTTTTATTGAGCAATTTACCGAGTTTTGTACCAAGCAAGATTTTCAAAGAAAATGAGATAGGGCCTCTACATATCAAGGTACCGAAATACTATAAGTAAGTTTTGTCTAATGTATACCTGAGTAGTTAAATAAATAAGACTTACTAAAAAAAAAGATTTCAATTTAAGGGGATCGCCGATGACATCTAACTTGGAGTCTGGACCAGCTTAAGTATTTTTGAAATTTATGAATTTATTTTGGCCGTTAGAAAAAGTCGGTTTTGAAAAATTTTACTTTGCCCACATAATATCCCAAGAATGACCATTTGTAGGTCAAACTTTATATGAGAGAAATATTCCCGGTTTCCTTTTACATAAATTTTTTTTTATATTTTTATTTATTTATTTATATTTATATTTTTATTTATTTATTTATATTTATATTTTTATTTATATTTTATGTTCATTTATTTTCGCTTAAACATTTAAGATATATTGGTCTTTAAAGTTATGCATATTTTTTTTTAAATTTTTGGACTTTAAGTTCAAATCGCGGGGCTCTTTCCACTACAGATGTCCACATTTTTTTTACGGATTTTATTTTTTATCGCAAAGCTATCCGAAAATGAGAAGGGAACGAAATAATTTAACACTGTTGCATTTGTGGGTGCTCTAATGTATGTGCATTAGTGTAGTCCAAAAATGCATGTGAAAAAGTAAAGTCGGATTTTTTTTTGCTCTCAATCCCTAGTATTTTTTTGCTTTGAAATCAAAAAATATTCAGAGATCACTCAAAGTGCTCAAAATTTTGAATTTTCGACCGGAAAACTCTGTTTCTCTTCAGGATATTCCCAATAATAATCCCATTTATTTGTTTAACCACTTTTTCATAGTAACTAAATTTTATAAGCCCGCTAAAGCCCATAGAAAGTACAATGAGGGGGATAAATAAAAAATCGTTAGTATTAAAAATGGTTAAATAAACAATTGGGTATTGTTATTGGAAGTCTCCTGGAGAAAACCAGGGTTTTCCGATCGAAAAATATTGATTTTCAAGAATTCCATACCATTTCCACATTTTTTGATTTAAAAAAAAATATATAAGTTTATAATTTTTCGATATATTCGATTCCTAGGTGGTGAGAGCACTAAAATTCTGACTTTACTTATTTTGGACCACCCTAATGTACATACTCGCATAAGCTTTCTGGTCTCCCTTTGGCTTTTTTATAATTAAAGTTATTTATTCCAATTCTTATTATTTTCGCCCCTATCCTCCTTAACACAAAGCGGCACTTCGCTTTCAATTTCAATTTCGCATGCAATGAAGTGTTAAATTCAATTTAAAATCGTTAACTCGCTTATCGCCAAATGCGCCAGCAGCCAGTCATGTGCGCAAAGCGCATGTGCGGTGGCAGTCCATGGCAGCAATGCTGCGTTGCATGTTATTCAGTAGCGAAAACCACTTGTGGCGCTCAACGTTTACTTGTGGCAGCATAGTGTTCGCGTGCAGACGCGTCATCATGGAGCAATTGGAGAAGGAATTTGCTGACTTCTTCGGCGAATGTAAGCAGCAAGGATTTACCTCCAAAGAAATGCGTGCCATATGTCAGCCGCTGTTGCATCGTCGCAACAACAGATGTTACGTGTTACTGGGCGTCTTGTTGGCTATGATGGCCGCCTTTTATTTACTCTATAACTGGTCCGAAGAATTTAGTTGGTTTGTTAGCGCCATTGGACGTTTGGTGTTGCTACAGCTGTTGCCCTACTGGAATTGGACGCCTCTATATAGTAGCCGGTGTCTAATTGAGCGTGCGGTAGATAAAAACGGTGCGCAGAGTGCAACTTCAACAACGAAAGCCTTGGGCCGTTATGAGACCGAAGCTGAAAATTGCGTACTTTGCGAGACGCTTGGTGAGTAACCATTCGAAGTGTGATAGAGTATTTTAAAATAAATTTCCGCCACCCCTTTGCCAACATTGGTTCGAAATATATTCGAATATTAAGAACGTGATTAAAAAAAAAAAAAACATACGCGTGCAGTGCACATCCGATAGAAGTGAAACCTTCATAAAATCATTGGAAATTTCCTGGAGTCTTTTTTAAGGGTCCGCTGTACTTCTGGTGTATATTTTTATTAAGCTCTCGTGAATTAATTTAACAATTTTATTTACTGGTTGATTGGGTGAAATATAAATTACCACAAATATAACTGTTCTCTCATGGTTCATCCTGCTTTCACAAGCAAATTTGAACAGACATTGATTCCAGTTTTTGTGCATTGAGTTCTATTTGTAGAGAACTATACGAACTTCGTCATGTGTGTTACGGTGGATTACAGCTCCGCCACTCTCGTCACTGGACTTATATTGGACCATATCAAAATTACGAATATCTAAAGCTTTCTCATTATCCACCAACGTCTCTGAAAGAATTAGAAAATTCGACGATGATGCTATTCTGTCATCTGCTTGAAGATTGAAGGTAAACAGTGGCCACCTTGTACTTGCATTATAAAATCGTATACTAATTTTTCAATTGTTTCAAGTCAATGGTGGATACTGTTACTCTCAATGCACCGTGCAAGGACTTTGCAAGGCTGCGAGAGTACCCCTATAGTTTCATATATCCTAGCTTTAAATGCAGTGGTGGTAGGACAACATTTTCAACTTTAACCAATTGGACATTTAAAGCGCTTTCCAGCCTATTTGAGGCGGCTGTCGGGATGGCCGTACTATGGGACCCATAAAAAACTTCATATTAAAATAAAAACATGTCCATAAAAATGCATTTCCTTCATTCGCATTTGCACTGCTTCCCACATAATTTGGGCCAGTTCATTGATGAACAAGGCTAACACTTTCACCAAGAAATAGCTACATTTAAAACACGAAGGAAAAAATAAAATAAAGATGATACTAGAATATTCCTGGTAACGACAATTAGAAACTGATGATGCTAAATTATGAAAACAACGATCAAGCAAACATTTTTGAGTTGTATAGCCAAAAATAATATCTTTGCAAAAATTTTTTTTTATAAAAAGTTTAATAACTCATAAAACTTGCATCATTATTATATTTAGTTTTAGAACCAATTTAGGACTATTATAGTCTTCTTATAAAATAGTGCGTAAAAACCTTACCGAAATTGAAAAAAGGCGAAAAAAGTAAAAAATATATGTGTTTGCAGGGTAAATACACACAGATCTCTTAAGGTTTCTTTATTCACAAATATGTATATCTTCTTTCTAAATCCGGTAATAAACTGAAACTCGGTTCACAATCAATTAAGTTACAGGCTTATAAGTGCGCCAAAGTACGAAAAACCGGATTTTAAAGGGAAAATGAAGATTTTGGGGGTGTTTGACAAATTTCATATTTCGGTTCTTGTTTTACTCAAAAATACCTTTCTTCTTTTTTGTAGCACTGTGTAATTCATTGGCTCCAGTGTATAATGATATGATAAGGGTATTTTATACTAAATATGAATGTGGAAATTTATGTTAAAATGAATAACATTTTTATTTTTTAAGAACTGTTGCCAGCTGTTTAGAAAAACGAAAAATTCGTTATGTCAAAATTTCTTAGATCAGTTTGCAGCTCACAAAAAAAAAATGCTCGTATATTTATTTCTTGCAGAAAATTTACAGCAAAAACAAAGTGCTTTTTCAAGCAACAGAGCAGGGCTCTAATCGTCACATACGATATCGTATTACTCATCACGTAAAATGACATTTTTCGAATTACGACGTGCGTGAACGTTCTTTTTATACCATTCAGCTTATACGACTGACATATCACGTAATTATGGTTTTCGATCAGTGAACGAGTGTTACCGTTCGAGCCCTGGATTCTAAGCTTTATGAACTAGATTTTATTAATTGTATACCAAAATATTGTAAAAAAAACATGTAGTCTGCCGTTTTTAAATATTTTATGTTTAAGGTACTGCTTTCGAGCAAAAAAAAAAATCTGGCAACCCTAAATCAACCACTTATTTAACTCTACACAGAATCTTCTTTAAATCGTCTGACGTTATCGCACAAATTAGTTACTTTCATTCTTATCGAATTAATTCCTAATTGCAGTATCGCTTTCGTATTGGTGGAACAGTTCTTCTTGACAGCAGATATGAACTCGAAGAAAGCGATACCATCAGCGATTATTTTCATAGAAATGTATCGAATTAGTAACTTCCGCGATAGAAGGTTCTAAAAGTTCCCAGTCGGGATTGGTTGTTTCCAAAATATACTTCTTTTTCCACTCAGAGGTAGTTCCAAAAAGATGCAACCTTTAATTCGCGTTTATATAGGCGTTAAACACAGCAAGGACGGTTCCTTGCAAGGAAATTTGCATGAGGTGGTTTTTATTGGTTTGGAAAGCTTTGCAGAATTTTTTATTGTCGCTCAGACTTATTTTCCGAAGTCAAAGTATTACAAAATTCTGATTTTAGCAGAGCAGTTTTCTCGAGTTACAGATTTTTAGCCTTCCAGTGTGATGAAAAAAAGGTGCGGCTACTTTTCCACGGAAATTTTTAGTAACTTTTCATACACAAATTAAATGAGCTTCAAATTTCTCATGAAGAAATTAGTTTCTAAAAAGGCATTATTTTCGAAAGTACACTTTAATGCGCTGATTTCTCTATAAGTACATACATATGTATGTGTAACAGGTGTGCCTAAACATATGGAGCCATATGAATTAAACTTATCAACTTCTTAAATTCCGCTGCATTATTGGGTTGTAGATAAATTTAAGTTTACTGTTTTTCTATTTTCAGAACGCATTCCCGCAACATCGAATACAACTTTCTCATTCCTCGAATCAGTTTACTTGGAACGCGGCTTGCCAGTTATTGTCACCGACTCGCATCGGCCACGCTCGCTCAACATGTTTCTCGACGAAATGTACAGCGCACCTTTGGATTTTCTCGAAAGCAATCCTTGTGATGTGTCAACCAACTTAATGCTCATAAAGCTTTTCAATTTAGAATTGGCTTTGCAAAAGATCAAGAGCACCACAACCAGTGCCAAATGGTTCCTGCATTTGCGAAACTGTGAGAGGCGCGCAGTCAAAGCGTCTCGACGCTTCGTCACACGTCCCTATTACTATCCACTCCATCTAGAACCGTTCTACTCCAGTTGGGTGCTGATGTCACAGAATTATGCGAGCGAACAGTTACGCGAAATTTACTTACAAGGCTTAGTATTCGTAAAACAACTTTATGGTTATTTCGATATACGCCTGCGACCGAAGCAGCCGTGTCAAGGCCCTTGCCCGGTGGTGAATATACGCTTGAGTGCTGGTGAATGTTTGATCTTCTCCACAGATTTGTGGATATTTAACTATGGCACCGAGGAGTTGGAGAGTAAAACGGCTTCAATAGCAACACTGTTGGAAATCGATTGGCAGTTGTAAGAAAAAGTATTTCAGTACATTTTTAGAATCTAATGGCCTTATTCATAAAAAATGAAGTAGGTTTAAAGAGCTTTATAAATTGACGTTTTCATACAGTTTGCAATTTATAAACCTTTTATAAGGCTAATTTATTTTTTATGAATAAGGCCATAAATATGTACATATATATTTATTGTCTTAATACTAGCAAAGAAAAAATACTAATGTAACATTTCCATTCCAGTAGTTAAGCTTTGATGTCTAAAAGAATAATTACGTATTTACATTAAATAAAATTAAAATTCATATCCACATTAAACTGTTCATATTTAGAAACCCATATCATCTACACCTTTCGGTTTTTCGCCTCCACCAGTTTCTGCAGCGTCCCCGTCAAGCTGTTGATCGCATCGATTTTCAGACGTTCGATCTTCTCCTGCTGCAGTAGCGACATCTTATGGAATTGCATTTGCTCGCGGTGCAGTGCCTTCTGGCACTGAATTTTCTCACGCTCCACCTCCAGCTTCCGTTCAAAGTAGTCCTTCCACCATGGCTCATCGTCCTGTGTCCCAGTGCACATCGGCGGGAACTCGCCGTTATCACATTTGCCACCGTGTTCATAGCCATTGGCATGGGTTATCTCCAGCGGCAGCTCAGCAGGGCTGAACTCCAACTTGGGCCGCTTGAGCTCAGACATAACTATCGAATCCTCGTCGAACTCATCATTCGATTTATCCAAGTTTGTTTCGGCCGTGTTGGCCAATAGCTCTAATTTATTCCCTTCGCCATATTGAGTTGTAACTTCAGGTTGTAGGGAAGGCGTCTGTTGTTTGACTTCTAGCGTTTGTTGAAAACTAATCGGCAAGGGCTGCGGCTGCTGTTGCTGCTGCTCCTCCACGGGCGGTTTGTGATAAGATGTCGATTTGTATTGGAAATCGTACATATCCACTTTTTTGTCCTTCAAGTACTTGTGCATCTCTTCGAAGAATTCCCAATGCACATATCCACTTGTAATCTTCTTAGGTAAGTTTTTGCTGTAGGTAATGAGTATATTGTGCCATTTCTTTTGTACTTTTGCTGCGCTGTAGCGAAAGCCTAACTTTTGCAGTTGTCGTGTGCAGTGTAGCCAAAGTGCAGTCCGTTTTTGGCGGCCCTCGGTGAACATGCCCTGCATGGGACCGCGTATGTGTATGAGCGCGCGTGTAGCGTCCGTGGTCCAAGCACGTTCGTAGGGGCCGCGCCCACTCAGTGTTATTGTTTGGCCATTGGTACCTTCAACTACCTCCCCAAGTAGAGAGTCATCGTTAAGATCGTCGCAGTCTTCAAGATCTTCATCGCTGATCTGATAGTAATCTGGAAGATGAGTAACAAATTAGTGGGAATATTTGGTAAGCTTAAGTATAAAAGAGACAGCGAAAGAAAATTTAAGCTGGAGCATAAAAGAAATAGTATGCTGACGGACAGCGGTTACATTGTTGTACCAAAGGATACTATAACGACTTCTACGATAAGAATAATAGATTTGCGCTTACAAAATATGTCCTCCCCCGATTTCTGGCGTACGCCTTGATGTTTTCACACAAAGTGGAGAATCTGTTTTTCATGGCAAAAATACACTCAGATGTTTGTCATTGCCTGCCGAAGAGCAGCCGCAATTAGAAAACAACTTTTTAATTTTTTGATGTTGGGTTGAACCGGGCTTGAACCCGAGCCTTACGGAATGGTAGGGCGCACTGCTAACCACTGCATCACAGTTGTTAACCAGTTCTAAAATTTCTCCCGGAAACTGAGTTAATAGACACACTATGAATCCAATATAACTTAAGGTCGCAGTTCTCTAACCCCTACAATAGTAGTAATATTCGTAATCGCACTTATTCTGTGCCATATTCTTTACTTGACATTGCTATAGAGGCGGATCAAGAAATTACTAAAAAAACACTTGCATATTTTCCTTTAACTTTTCGGTCTTCGGTATAGTAATGAAATATCATTTCCGAGGCTATGATAATTTTTAGATGTTTGAAGAAAAAAATACCATGTTTTCTTTAATATTTTTAATTTTATTGTTTTGTCTTTTTTAATATAATTTTCTTTTAATTTGCAGATTTCATTGTTTAAAAAAAAAAATTTTTTTACCGCTTAGCAGATAAAAAATAGCTGCTTATTGCTGAGATAAAAAATGGGTTTACCTATGAAAGTCAAGTAAAGTGTACTTTTGAGTATTATATACATTACAACGCCTATAAGGAAAATTTGCATATAAGAGTGCCGAGTGAAAGTCACAACACGTTTTACTAACAAATCTAATAAGACACCTGCATACATATGTACATACATATATACAAGTATATGTATGTATTTATGCACATACAAACATACAAATGTAGATATGTATGCAAAGTCAACGTAGCACTACAGTGGTGAAAACATTTTCACTGTCTATTCACCACAAAAATGTACATACATACATATGTACATACATACACTCTCCACATGACACCGTTTAGCAAAAGTCCTTGCGCTCACAGCATCAGCCCTATCAACTCTAAATATACTAAGATATTTTTTCAGCACAACTGATAAATGGAAACGTACGCGCAGGGGCAAAATCCAAAATATACACAAGGGAAGAAACAAAACGATAATAAAATCTAGCGAAAATAAAAACTCACACACACGCATCGCAAAGTAGAGCCTTCCATCCTTGCAAACTATTCTGAACATAAAAAGGCTTTTGTACATCCGACTAACAGCACAAGAATTCTGTACGCAGAAGGTACATCTATGTTAATGTTTATGTACCCAGTGGAAAAATGTAATGTATAGTATACGAAAAAATAATCAGTAAAACAAACATTTTCACATTCAAAAATGCATTTCTTCCCCAGGTCGATGTCCTCAGAAAAGTGGGTCATTCAATTTTGTATGAATTTTTTGGAACTTTTTGAATACATTAGAATGCTGATTACATAGTCAGCAGTACTTTAATCTAGAACTCATCAGAAATACATTATATTATTTATGACGCATGTAATGCATTACCACTTTTCCGACTGGGTATGCACGAATTGCAGGATACATATTTTCGCTGATAAAATTATAAAAAGCACACACTTCACTAGCTAGCGATTTAGCGAATGAAATCGGGTAACATTTAAGGATAACAACAAAAAATTGCAAGGATACAGACAATTTGATGCACTAAATCGATGACATGAATACAAGTTGCCTCACATATGTACATATATATTTGCAAATGTGTACACATATATGTTCTATAAGAAGAAAAACGTATTGCAAAATCACTTTCGCCTGCTTACTGTTATCATTTTCAAAAGTATGCGCCATTGGTCCAGCCGGTTGTGTCATTTTTTCTTCCTTAGCTGTGTTTCCTCGGCAACGGTATATTGTTCTCCTTTTCAATTATTGATTATTTTGCAGATTAACACAAATATCAAAAAAAAAAATTTCATTAGCTGCATCCGCTAGATCTACTTCGCAGCGATAGTTTTCTGTTACTAAATTTCATCCTGTCGCAGGCGCCCTAGCGATGCTGTGAGAATCCTTGCGACCACATCTTTTTTCGTTGAACTCGTTTGCTATGTGATTTACTGTTTGCCACTGACTGTTGTCGCTCTCGTCGTTAGATCTGCTCTCACTTTGTTCGCTTGGGTCTGTAAGCGCTGACGAGGTGGCACTTGCTATTTTCGTACTTAGTTGCTTTCATACTTGCGGCAGGATATCTGGTGGAAGGAGGATTATAGCCGAGCGAAAGTACAGACATACGCAGAAATACACTAATGTGAGTTCGGCTCGGCTATGTAGACTTCGTTCGTTTTAGCATCAATAACACCGTTAATCTAGCTAGCGCTCATTGAGGGGCCAAAGTACGCCAAGCGGAAGGCGGCTGCTGCTTACAAGTCGCAAAGTAAGGCGAGGTTTACCAGAAAGGGAGTGCGAAGGACAATACGAAATTTCAAAAACTACCCCACATTAATTGCGAGAATAAAATGGAACAACGTGCATATGCTTGTGTGCGTATGTATTCATGATTAAGCGCGTAAATGTGGTCGATTGATTACAAATTATAAATAATATATAGTACCTTATTGCGTGCTATCAGGAACATCAAAACATGTGGATTTTTTTTTTATCCACCTCTGTTCTGTAAAGCGCGAGACTAAAGCTAGTATTCTTCCTGAGTATGTATGAATGAATTTAAGTTTAAGTTTTTCTCTCTGACGCCAGTTTTTTTTAAAGGACTATCAAATTTCAAAGAAATGAGTTATTCAAAAATTTATTTAAATAATTCAGTGCAATGTAGAATAACACTTTTCGATGCAGAATTAAAAAACATGGATATGTATGCATTTAAAAATTTCTTGTATTTATATTTATTTTTTTAAGCTAATAAATTAGAAGGACGAATTTAAGGATGCGGTCATGTAATTATATATTAATCTTTAACATGTACTTTTTCAAAAATTAATATTACAAATTTTCAAGGATGTTCAAGGATAAAATTTTAAAAAGGTATTTTCAATACTTATTCGTCCTTTTGCACCAAAAATATTAAATATTTTTAGTTATACTGAATTTTATGTTTTATTTGATAGCCATATTGTTATTCTTCATTGCACTAAACTGTTAAAATAATTTATTGAGTTATTCATTACTTTGATATTTCAAAGTCCAATAAAAAAAATCCTGACCCACAGTGATATTTGAGACACATTTTGTGTCCATAATTTAAAAAGTTAGTATACTGACCAAAATTCAGAGGTCTTTGAGTTCGCTGAATTCGAATCTAAATTCGAAATAACAAAAACCCAAATGGTCGATCCAATGGGCGGCTAAAATCTTAAACACAATAATTTATGTTAAAAATAATAATAAGAATGGCTTATTATTATAATAGCTGCGTTCCCCAACTCGCAAGAAGTTGAAAGAATTTGCAGGAATTTACCAGAAAGCGTTCCCGCGCTCGGTTCTCTGGCAAAGTAGGGGAAAAATCAGAGAGTAAAATCGGTGGATCCGCCACTGCCTGAAAGCAATTTAACTGCAATTTTACATTGAAAAATGGCATGGCTTTAAGTAGTGAACCCCTTAAATGTAATTATTTGTAACTTACTCATGGATTTTATTACTATCGCTTACCTTTTTTGACTTATTTCCTTATATGGTTATTAAGTAAATTTCAAAACAAAATCACTAACTGAACTGATGTTAGTTTAGTCTAAAATGTTGCATCTTTCCATACAAGATTTTATATCTTATCATACTAATTTCTTTTTCATTTATTGAAATAAAAAAAGAATAAAAATAAATACATCGACACCTAAGGGTGAAAAGGTGCCAAGTCCGTTTTTTTAAATTATTCAAGAGAGACGAAAAATCGATGTGATTTCGTATTACCTGCCACTCTGCATAAAAACTAAATTTTGAAGAAAACTTGATTGGTATGTTTTCACCTTTACGTAGCGAAATACGTAAATGAGGAAACGAATAAAGATTAACCTAAGGAAAAAGGTAAGTAAAAAGACAAAAATAAAGATAAAGATAAAGAAAAGGATACAGATAGTTATAAATATAAAAAGAATCAAATAAAATTTAAGATTAAAATATGTTACGTTGCTCACCTTCTTTTCAACTCACCTCACTTCTGCTTGATTACACCTAACTATACTGTTTCCTTCCCTTTAACTCACCTTACCACGATTGACCTCAACTCCCCCCCATCTCATCTTAGCTAAGCTCACTTCACCTCAACTCTCCGCAACACAATTCCCGCGAACGGCGAACTCACCACAGCGAAATTATCGCTGTCAAAATTAGAACACCTGCCGGCATATGAAATTGAACACAGCCAAAGCGAAATGCGAAGTTCGCTCGGCGGCGTTTCGTGGCGATAGATTTATTTCTATCGCTCTGCTGGGCGTCGGCGGCAGTTCATGCCAAGGGTGGCCTTACGTTTTTTTACTTTCAAAGATTTAGAAGAAAATAGCATGTATTTTTGATGGTTGAAAAATACAGTGATCGATTCGTTAAATCTGGCTTAAAATAAAATAATTTATAATAATTCCCCCTTGCCTTATATTTATATTTGTTATCATTTCATCATTTCTAAAAATGGTTTCATTTTTCAAAATATGGTCACCTAACTTATAAGTGCGACGAAATGGTATCAGCTGTTTTCGCTTCCGCTCTAATTCTGTTAAAGTAGGCGAAATAGCAAGGAGAACGGTGAACGACGGCATCGCCTAATTCGGCGAACTTCGCCGTGTATTGTGTTTCAAGCGTAACGAGCCTTAACCGCCAAAATAACGTAAGCGACACATTTTTTTCAAAACTTTCTTTTTGATGCAGAAATGCATCTAGATGCCTTAGGAGTATTTCTGCAGTTCGCTTAAAATTTTGAAAAAAATGTCGCTTACGTTATTTTGGCGGTTAGGGCTCGATATATCATCGATAGTTGATATTCTCCAATTTTTGTAGACTTATGTAACTATGGCACCGAGGTGGAACCGCGATGATAAATAACACGGTGTAACACTGATCATAAACTGTTTAACAGCCAGTTTGACCAAACTTTTTAAGTGGAAATTAATTTAATTAAATAAATTTAATTTAATTTTGTATTTAATTCTCATTTAAATAATTTTCAGTTTCAATAAACCATTTATTTAAGTGAGTAAAAGGTGGATGTAAAACAGACTAGGCCAGCGAAAGTTTTCATTTGTACTGAGAGCTTTTGAAAGCTTTGGCACGCTGTGTTGTAAAAGCAGGACTGGTATACAAGTAAGCAGCAGATACACAATGATCAGGTGATTAAACGTGTAACACCTCTGAGTGTGGTTATTCTAATTTAATTTTTATTTAAATGAAGAGCATAGGTCACTTAAATCAAAATTAAAAATTGATTGGTGAAACCAAAAATTCGAAAATTAAAGTAATTTTCACTTAAATAATTTGGTGAAACTGCCTGTTAGTCACTACTTCGAAATTAATGTTTAATTCCGAGTAAAACTAGGTACGTACATACCACTTATAGATATGAATGATATGAATTTTCCAAAGATTCCTTCCAAAATTACTTCGATGTAATTTCACAAAAAATTTGAATCCGTTGCATTGAATTCACTTTGAGGTTTCAATAGTTTGTATAGAAAAATTTGAATTTGTCTCTATAAAAGATGTCATAACTTCATAACTATTTTATTGATTTTAATGAATGGTTTTACTCGGAATTAAACATTCTCCGAAGTAACTAGGGGAGATTATTTTCTTTTGAAATTTGGCAAAAAATGTTGTAGAAGCTTAGAAAGAAAAGTTGCTATGTCCCATTTTAAAAATTTTACAGGAGAGGAAAAAATCTTCTTATGGCCATTTTCTTTAACTATTTCGCCAGACTTTGAATCAAACATTTTGCGTGTTTAAAGCAAAGCAAAACTCCATAAGAATCAGAAGGATTCGATATTTATTAAAAGATGTCGTATTATTTTGGCCTTATCGGATTTGTAGAGTTTCTTTTGGGCTTAGCAAATTGTTCTTTTATTGCTTATGAAAAGGAAAAAATAAAATAAGTACCTTTATAATTTTCGAAACGATGCATATTCAATTTCTATAGCCTCCTATATCAAAATATGAGTTTTTATAAAAAGTGGACTTAGCAACTTTTCACTCTAAGCTAGCGATATGTATTTACGTATGTATGTACATAAACATCCAGACAGCAAAATATCCGGAAACGTATCCGAAAATGGAAACAATTTCGTATAAAAACCTGATGTTTCATCCGTTTTCCGATTCCGTTTTCGGACGTTTTTCAGATCAATTCTCCCACTAAAGTGTATGTGCAGAAAACTATCGAAAATGTTGTAAAACGGATGCGCTTTCAGCTGTTTTCCTGAAATTTGTCTGATTCAATTTTTCGTTGAAAACGATTTCATTATGAACTTCACAGAAACTTTCTCATAGTTACAGGACACCAAACCAAAAACAAATTTAATATTCAGCAATTATTTCAACTTGAATAACTAATTTTAATGTGTTGCTTCTGACGGAATTCGAACCTGGGACCTCCTGAAAGCTACAACAATAGTAGCACACTTCTCTGCACACTCAGCTACTGGCGAATATGTATACATGTTTTCAAATACTCAGTTTGAACAAATATTTTAAAATTATTGTTTTGAAATAAGATGATGACATTTTTCGGATACGAAAAATGAACAAATATGAAAATCGTTTTCTGAACATTTCCGGAAACGAAAAATTTACGAAAACTGCACTTTCGGCAAAAAGTACGTTTCTCTGCTGGCTGGGTATCTACGACGTGCTCACAAAACTTTTTGTTTCTTTAAACAGCAAAAATAAAAATTGTTTAGGCTGGGTTTTTTGGACCTATTCATATTCAAATTCTAGGCTAAGCCCAACATTGGCCTACGTTTTAATCAGCTTATTCTTGACTAAGTCCAAAAATTGGCTAAACTAAGTTAAGTTGAGTAGGAGAAACTACTTTAAGGATAAGTTGAGGATTGGAGGGTGTTGGAAAAATTTTGAAAAAAGTTTCGTGAGTTACTCGGCCAGCTCTACGACCTGTACTTGGTCACTTAAAAATTGCGTGCAATTTTTTTTTTTTTTTTTGTAACACCGTGTAATTTTCCGCGATAACTTAAAGGTGAGACACACAACAGTCAGAGGCGTCGCCTGTGCGTATTATTTCATATATGGGCTATTTTTACCGTAATATATTTTTAGTTCAGCCATGTAATCCGTGGAGCCTGAATGATTTACATATGTAGATTTAAAAAAAAAAGTACATTAATTTTTATTTCAGTTCATTAATGTATAGTATAATCCATTTTTTCAGAATTTATAGAAAATTATATTGTCTGAAATAAAAAAATTATAAATCAAAAATTAAAAATGTTAGTTCATTGAAGTTGGGGAAATCTTTACCTAATCTCCCCCTGGCTATGCCACTGACTCCAGTAGTTGTACATTTGTACCTTAAACTTTGTTGTCTTAAACAATAACTACTTTGAATAAAATTAAAATTTCTATTCTACACCTTTCGGTTTTTCGTCTCCACCAGTTTCTGAAGCGTCGCCGTCAAGCTGTTGATCGCATCAATTTTCAGACGTTCAATACTCTCCTGCTGTAGTAGCGACATTTTATGGAATTGCATTTGCTCACGGTGCAGTTCCTTTTGGCACTGAATTTTCTCACGCTCCACCTCCAGCTTCCGTTCAAAATAGTCCTTCCACCACGTCCCATCGTCCTGTGACCCATTGCATATCGGCGGGAACTCGTCATTATCACATTTTCCGCGGCTGCCAACGTGTTCGTAGCCATTCGTGTGTTGTATCTCCAGCGGCAGCTCAGCAGGGCTGAATTCCAACTTTTGCTGCTTCAGCACAGACATAACCGTCGAATCCTCATCGAACTCATCATTAAATTTATCCAAGTCTATTGCGGCCGTGTTGGCCAATAGCGCCAATTGATTCCCTTCACTATATTGGGGCGTAACTTCAGTTTGTAGGGAAGGCGTCTGCAATTGACTACAATTGACTTCTAGTGATTGTTGAAAACTAATCGGCAAGGGCTGCGGCTGCGGCTGCGGTTGTGGCTGCTGTTGCGGCTGCTGGTGCTGGTGCTGTTGCCGTTCCGACTGCGGCTGCTGCTTCTGCTGTGGCAGCTCTTGCTGCTGCTGCTGCTGCTCTACCGGCGGTTTGTGATTAGACGCCGATTGGTATTGGAAATCGCTCATATCCACTTTTTTGTCCTTCAAGTACTTGTGCATATCTTCGAAGAATTCCCATTGCACACATCCACTTGTAATCTTCTTAGGTAAGTTTTTACTGTAGGTAATAATTATATTGTGCCATTTCTTTTGCACTTTTGCTTCGCTGTAGTGAAAGCCTAAATTTTGGAGTTCTCGTGTGATGTGAAGCCAAAGTTCAGTCCGTTTTTGTCGACCCTCAGAAAACTTGGCCTGCATAGAACCACGTACGTGTATTAGCGCACGTGTAGCTTCCGTAGTCCAAGCACGTTCATAGCTGCCGCGTCTACCCAGTCTTAAATTTTGGCCATTGGTACGTTCAGCTATCTCAAGTACCGAATCATCGTTAAGATCGTCATCGCTGATCTGATAGTATTCTGGAAGATGAATAACAAATAAGAGAGAATACTTGTTTAGTTTAGGAATTAAGCAAGACAACGAAAAAAAGGAACAGCAAAAGCACAAAATAAATCGTACGCTGACGGGCAGCGGTTGTATTGTTGTACCAAGGGATAATATTACGATTTCTACAAGGGATAATATTACGATTTCTGGTAAGCGATATTCATAGATAAAGTTGTAAAATTTTCCGAACCACAATTGGTGTATGTAGCCTGTTAGTTAACATTGCATTTATTACAAACTTTTTCGGTGCATATTGGCCAATCTTAGAGATGAACGATACCATGCAGGTATCGATACCTTTACTTGAAAGTAGTATCGTAAGAAAATATCGATACATGAAAAATATCGGATATAAAGTAACGATACCTACTCGTAACGGTAATTTTGGCTGTGAAGGTCTTCCGTATGGGATGGGTGGGTTTAAATTGAATTTTTTAAGTTCGAATAATAAAAGTTTAAAGTTGACGAAATTCCCGGTTTATATTTCTTATAATAAAAATTAACGGATTTTTTTTGGTGAGTTCTTAAAATGCTTAAATTTCGATACAAAATTTCTGGGCTTGGCGTTGAACATTTTGGTTTTTTCTTTGTCATCCACGTTTTGCAAACATCTGTTAAAAAAGTTCATTTCATACTAGTTTCAGGAAAAAATTTACGTCTTCAATATTTGAAGGCAAGGCAAATTTTCGACTTTGATCGTGGCACGAGCGCCCGATAAAAATCGGCGCATTTCGTACAATTTGATTGTTCTACAATGAGCAATAGAGTATTCACATTATCGGTACAGCAATATAAATTTTGGTTGATTATAGTCAGCACAATTTTGACTAAGATTTCCGCATTTCGAAAAATTGTGTTTTTTCACATTATCGGTACATGAAATGCGACGACAATCGGATGATTGCGCCGATAATGGGATCAATCGATCCAGTTATTATTTACTCAAATAATAGATAATTGTTATTTGAGGCGAAGATCATGCAGAAGGTGACAAGGTGATCACAAGTTTATAGTAAATTTCTATGAATCTTGAACAAACTTGACAAGGATATTTATTCTAATATTCGCATTACGTATGGCAACTGGGTAGGGTACTGACTGTCGGCTACTGTGTCTAGTAGCGCAATATTTTGTTTCCCGCTTATGAAGATTTTGTTATTTCTTTATTGGAGCAAAGTTGCCCAGTTGATTTGTATAAAGTTAGTAAACCACCTTATCTCAAAAAAAAAATAATAACAATAAAATAAAAGAACGATAAAATTATTTTTTACACTTTGTTTTCCACAACTAATTAGCGGCAAAACAAACAGCAAATCTTGGATATATGCGATTTATTTTTCATGTTGGTTCGCTAAGTTTATATACAGCGGCGAACAAGATAGTAGCAGCGAAATTCAAAATGATGCTGTTGGCAACTTTTGTTTATTTATTGTTAAAAAATTTCATTTAATTTATGGGTCGATCTATATACATACATATATCAGAAATCACATAAATAAAAGTTTCAGAGCTTGCACAAAGTTCACAAAAACTAATTAAACTTAAAAAAATGCCCATCAAAATTTAAATTTTTTTAGTTAGATTTACTAGAAACAGTTTGAGTAAGCAGTTTTGTAGCTCATTCAATTTTAGTATAATAAAGTGGAAGTTTCAAGTCACTAAAAATTAACGCTAATTTTTTTAGATTTTTTTGTGGAGGGTGTTTTTCCATATAACGCATGAACAAAATTTGTTTTCCGTATCATTAGAGCAGCTGATTTGATTTATTTTTTTCTTTTTCAAATTATTCGCTCTCTAAAATGTCAAATATTTTTTCATTTCTTCTCACATAAATTGTCAAAATCTTTTTGCATGTGAAACATTTTCCCATACAAAACAAGCGATTAAAAAGGTACGTGTGGAACGTTCACCTAACTCCGCAGCACAAACGCTGGTTACTGGGCCTTGCATATGATGGATCAATCCATCAATGCTTCGAGAAGCAAACAAAATTTACCAGTAAAGAAAGTCGCACGAACTTTTTTTCCAAATCTTTTTTTATTTAATTTTTAATCAAAATCAAAACAGTTTTTGACAATTTAGATAAGCAACAACAAAATACACATAAATGTTGGTTTTGCTCTAATACCTGTTTGATAACCTTTTAAGTTGAAATTTCTTTGACTGTTTCAAAAAAATTTAAAAGGTTAGTGATCTCATTTAAGAAAGGTACTCATAGATCAATACATAAATCATGACTTTCAATCACTTCACTTCTCTAGCTGACAAATTTCATTATAAATGACTACTCAATCAAGAAAAATTAAAAGGTGTTAGAGAGTTTAAAAATTCTGTGGCGAATCTTGCTTGCTTCTGTGGATATTCAGAAACGACAGTATCGATGCCATAGTAAACATTTTCTTATCCGGGCAACATTATAACCATTATTTCCTTATTAACTATCGTACATTGTTTATTTTTTAGACACGAAATTGCTCAGTCCTTCAAGTGGTTTTGATTACTTACACTAGGCTGAGGTTGAACGACCCAGTCGACTAAATTTACATCTCGCAAAACAAACTCTTAGTGTACTTATCTTAATTTTTGGGTCTGGAGAGAGTTCTTGACCTTACCTAACTTGCAAAAGAAATGTGAAATAATCTCACATTTAATTAAAACAATTCGTCGGCAATGATTTTTTTTAAGTTTTCGAGGATTTTAAAATCATATATACATGTAAAATTGAAAATAAAAACAATTAAGTTCTTCAAAAATATTGTACCCAGCATACCAGCGGAGTCCGATAATAGACCGAAAAGGTGACCTTACGGGTTTTCAAAATTTTCTTAATTTTGTTTATAATTAATAAGTATTAAAGAGTTTTTTGCGGTTCTCTTTTCAGGAATATTCGAAAACGACGATCAGTTTCTTCTTGATTGAAAATTTCTTTTCAATTCACAGACAAGATAAAAAAAATACTTTGAGTGCCTTCTCACCCCATATTCGGAGCCCTCCGAAAACACTCATTCGAGGTGTTAACGTGGGAGTCCCTTTTAACTCCATAATCGGGGTACTCCGAAAACTTATTTAAAGGAGTTACTGCGGTCGTCGGTTTTTATTCCATATTCAGAGCGCTCCGCACTTGCTGCCTATTGAAATGAAGGTAGCAATGCTTTGTTCAATGTAGAACTCCATGCAAATATTTCAAAAGTGGTCTAATGATTTTTAAATTTGAAATGTTCGTGCAAAGTTTCAGCAGTTTCGAGCACTTTAATTCGATACATGACTTGTTCCTGTACGATTAGCAGAAGGCTGGGAATAAGGGCCTTGTCTTATAATAATAAATAGTATAGATTTTTAATTAATAAAATTTATTTGTTGAATTGGTACACTGTTACCGTTTTGGTATATTCTGCTTTTACGATTTTCTCATTACTTTCATACTATTTTTGGTTTTAAGTTTCTGTACTTCTTTGAGTTATGAAATAGTTGGTCAGATTAGGCAAGACCATCTATCTTCCACATGTCTTAAAGCCAGGTTATGCAAGACTTACACTTAACTTACCTAAAAACTTAGAAACGATTACCCAGCGTGCCACCTATTACCTTTACTCTTTTATTTTATTCTCAGCACTTGCGTTTATACACGTAAAATTTTAAACGTTTATATATGTTGGTTAAAAATTTATACAAAATTACAATGGAAATAAATGTATTTACGCGTTTCAATTGTTTGTGGTTTTTATTTTATTTAATGTCTTTATTTAGAAGTTCCGTTTTCTATTACCAGATGAATTACATTTCTACAAAAAATCGAAAATACGAACAGATGCAGTAACAAGTAATTTTTAGCAAAAAAAAACCGACTTAAAAAAATATATATATATATTTCATGATCCAATGATCGGATCTAAATCAAATTAGTATGGGAATGTCTTCGGAATGTCAAAATAATGTGTTTGTTGTAAACAAGGCGAATTCATTTTACAAAAAAACACATCATTTTGGCATTCAGAAGGACTACGGCGAAAATCTAAATTCGCCAGCGACACCACCTTGTATAAATTCGCATTGATGTGGCGCAAGCTAATTTTGGGAAAGCGCTCATAGCCGTTTTTCATTTTCCTTTCCAACGTTTAAAAAATCTTGAGTAAAGTGTTTTGCACATGTTTCACTATATCCCTGGCTCTTTCATAGTCTCTAATGTTTTTTGCTTTATTTGAACTTTATTGTCATTATACGTAGTGACTTTGCAGAGAGATCAAGCCATTTATGAATCTTGTTACGGTCTCATTTCGCTGCCATGTGAAACATGTTTTTCGCACTCATTGATTATCCTTCTACTGTCTTCTTTTTCTATATAGCCAACATTTCCCTTTTAAACAAAAATTAAAAATCACGTTACTTTTAATGACATTGAGCTCGTTCGCTTCCAAGGAAATTATTTCAGCATTATAATATACAACGAGATCACTTTTAGTGGAATGCTAGTTGAGATATCATAGTAGATTTTAGTATACTTAAGGCTGGTTTTCACTATGTCAAATTCAGTGGCATTTGCCGTCAAATAAGTGAAAACACATTGTCAAATGGGATCAGAATGCGGTTTATCGATTGATTTGGATCAGGATAGGTCTTTAGTCGTGTACATGCGCTGCGAAATCGGTTGTATGTCAGTTTTTGGCCCATAATATCATCGGCAAAGGTATGGATAAAGGAGATGAAGTTGTGTCAAAATATGTCGCCAAATTTTGGCGTCAAAATATGACATATGAAAACCAGTCGTTAGTTCGGCTCTTGTGAATTTTTTTGATTTGGCTTAGAAATAGTCCACATTTCATTCCGCGTACGTTATAGAGAGGAATTTTTTTTTAAATATGTGAAAAATTATATAGTAGCATGATTCTCTCAAGGCTCTCTTTGAATTTAGAAACTTAACTCAGAAATCAAAAATCTATAGTTCTCTAAGTTTCTGAGTGAAGTTGTTTTTTGC